TGAGCTGAAGAGCTGAGGGACAGAGTTCAGGCCCTACGACCAAACTACTTGTGAAAAGGCTCTAGTGGCAAATCTACAGGATAAAAGCTTCAAACTGACTGTTCTTGACAGGTACAGTGACACACCCCTGTGCTCCCAGCTACAAAGGGAGCCGAGGCAAGACCCCAGACTGAGCAACTTTGTGAGATAATCTCAAAAACAGGGTGGGGGGAGGTGTGCCTCAGTGGTAGACCACTTGGGTGGCACCTGGGTTCAAGCCTGAACAAACAAACAAACAAACAGTTCAGTATTAAAGATGCTCAAAAAGGCCAGGGCCTGGTTCCTAGCTACTCAGTAGATAAAGAACTAAAGGATGAAAGCCTGGGCAGAAAACTCCACAATAGGGGCTGGAAGGTGGCTCAGTGGTAGAATGCTTGCCTTGCATGCATGAGGACCTGGGTTTGATTCCTCAGCACCACATAAGCAGAAAGAAAAAAAGCCGGAAGTGGCGCTGTGGCTCAAGTGGTAGAGCGCTCGCCTTGAGCTGAAGAGCTGAGGGACAGTGCCCAGGCCCAGAGTTCATGCCCCACAACCGACAAAAAAGGAAAAAAAAAAAAAGCCCACAAAACTCTATCTCCAATTAACCAGCAAAAAGCCAAGCTAAACAGATGGTAGCTCAAGGAAGTGGAGGTATGGTTCAAGTAGTAGAGATGACTACACTTGAGTGAAAAAGCCAAAGCAAGAACACAACTTCCTGACTTCAAGCCACGAAGGTGTTGTATAGTCTTAGTTATGTGGGGGGGCTGAGGCAGGAGGATAATTTCACTCCAAAGTTGGAGGCCAGCTCGAAAGACATAGTGAGAACCCTCGTCCCCATAAAAATAAGAAGGATAAACAAGGGAGCAATTTCTCATGGAAAACTACTGTTAACACTGTCATGGTGATTACTTGAAGGATTTCCAATTTCAGATGCAGCAACAATTGGAATCCCAGTCCACTCTTCAAGTGCATTTGGTTCTAAACATACTTCTTCAAAGACCATGAGTTTGAGGACAACGTAGGCCTTACTTGTAAAGCAAGGTTGAGTTTTTCCCAGCGATAAAGTAAGACCCTGTCCCAAAAAACAACAAAACATCTTAAGACATATAATGCTTACCTGTGGTTCAAAGCCCATGTCAAACATTCTATCTGCTTCATCTAAAACAACATACGTCACTCTTCGAAGATTCGTGACCCGACCTAAGATGAGAAGAAAAAAAAAAAAAAGACAAAAAAAAGACAACTAAAAAACAGACACAATTCATTTTATGACTATCAAGAAACTTTAAAATACTGTAAGGGAACTAAAATGCCTGACTTAACCACAGGGGTAGGTTAGGTATCTTTAACAGTGAAAAGAAATTCTGATCTACAATGTCTTAAACTAGTGGCAGTACTGACAATGGATACATGAGGCCCTTTATTGTGTCAAACTCGTCTCTTGCATACCATCATAGGGCCAGAAGAACCTGTAAAATTCAGAAAACAGCCCTCTCCAAAACACATCATAAAACTAAGACTGAGATGAAGCATCGAGCCACATCAGCCATTATCTGACAGCATCACCTAGAAAAAAACATATTAGAGATTACAGCGTATGTGTGGAAAGCAGTTCCAGCACTAAACTACTTCCGACGCAGAAAACGTCTCTTTGATATTACTTTCTAACCTACTTCTATCAAGTTTTTCCAAGTTCCTTAAGTGGCATGTCAAACCATTTAACATATTAAGTAACTAACATAGTACACAAAACTTTACAATGCCAAATGCATTATAAACAAACACAATTTCTATGCAAACATACGTTTAAGTGCTCCCATTTATTTAAATAAATATTTCCAGCTTCTTAACTAGTGAAAACTAAATACAGAAAGACTCTTTCTAATGGATTAATATAAGCATTGGTACAAATGTTGAATCAACCACCTGGCAAAAACTTGTACAAAGTAAGTTATTAAACCAAAAGGACAAAGGAAAAAGGTAACATTAATTATGAATCTCAGGAGATTTAATCAATGAAGCATTGAGAAAAAACAAGGGATTATTTAATCAGCATTCATCTCAAACTTCCTCTGTAATATCCAAGCACAATCACTTAGCAAACAACTTCTTTATTACTTTGCCAGCTTCTTGAAGAATTAGATTTCAGTCTATACAGAAACTCAAGCACAATGCCATTAGCAACATGCATTACTATATTTTTAATAGTCTGTTGCTTTTATACTGGATACTGCAATGAAACATTTAAAAGCATTTTTCTTCAAAAAAAAAAAAAAGCAAAACCAAAAACAAAAATGAGCCGAAAAGAGTGCTAACACCTAAGTATTCCACGCTAACATTTGCAGCCCCCATTAGTTTTGCAAGGTCGGGAACAGCATTAAATCGACCTACCTTTGATGGTTTAAGTCTCGGAAGCCCAGTTCTATAAATCTTGAAGGGCCTTTCTCCACAGAAGTTAAATAATGTCAACAGTTTAGTAACAGTTTTCATAGGGAATCATTTAACAAAGCATCACATTTGAGCTTAAAAACATGCGGTATTTACTAAAGACAAAATTTCTTGAAGCTGCAATACCTTAATTTAATCTAGTATTGTAAAATATTAGCTCATGAGAAAAAAAAAATCCAGAATTTTGCAGTAAAGAAAAGAGTAGGCAAGGGATATAACTCAGTGGACAGTGCTTACCTGAGCCTTGAATTGTATACCTAGCACCAAGGGGGAAAAGGAAAAGACTAGAATACCACCCTTGAAAAAACAAAGCTAAGCAAAAAGAAACTAAAAAACATGCTAAAAGATCAAACAGCATTAACTCTGTAATTTTAAATTGAATTGCAAAGCAATTAATGCTTTTGACTATAAGCTTGTTACAATACAAATTTTAAGATATTACAGCTTTAAGAAGATATGTTTGTTGCTGTCTTGTATCTGCTTTAACAAAAAAAAAAAAAAAAGTGTAAGAGGACAAAAACAAAAGAGGACAAAAAAATTACCCCTGACTTACCACTGTTAGCTGCTAGCATGTCAATCATTCGACCAGGTGTGCAAACAATAATTTCAGCACCTCTTTTCAGCTCAGCAATCTAATAAAAAGATGAAATTTTATAGTTTATTCATCACAAATGCTTAAACAGATTTAAACATGATGCATGTGGCCCTTGTAAGGCTTCATCAGGCAAAAATAAAGTCTAATTAGAAGAAATCACTCTCCTGCTCAATTCTGTGGAGTAAATAGAGCACCACTACTGGAAAAAGTGACTGCAGCACCACCACATGGTGCCACAGAAGAAACCGAAGAAACTGGTTACCGAACTTGAACCAGCCACCATCCCTCAGCACCGAGAAAGGAAGGTACGAGTAGTATAACATATAGACAGATCGATGCTTTGCAGATTTAGGGTTGCCACCATGAGTAATCATGAAATCAACTTCACAGATGATCACAACCAACATTTTTTTAAATGAAATAGAATGAAAAATACAATAGTGCCTTAGAGATAAAACTTTTTTTTTTTCTGGGGGGGGCATCGGTCATGAGGCTTGAATTCTGGACCTGGGCTCTGTCCGAGCTCTTTAGCTCAAGGCTAGAGCTCTATCACTTGAGCTACAATGCCTCTTCCAGTTTTATGTTGGTTAATTGGAGATAACAGTCTCAAAGAGGGGGCTGGGAAGGTAGCTCAGTGGTAGAGCACTTGCCTTGCATGCTTGAGACCCTGGGTTCGATTCCTCAGCACCACATAAGCAGAAAAAAAAAAAGCCGGAAGTGGCACTGTGGCTCAAGTGGTAGAGCGCTAGCCTTGAGCTGAAGAGCTGAGGGACAGCACCCAGGCCCAGAGTTCAGGCCCCACGACCGGACTCAAAAAAAAGAAAAAAAAAGAAAAATGGGATGTTTGTTCTATAATTACCTGCTCACTGATTCCTGTTCCTCCATAAACACAGACCACTCTAAGTCCTAAAGTCTTGGAAAACTTCTTACATTCCTTAGTAATCTGTAAAGCCAGTTCTCGAGTTGGAGTCATGATGACAGCTGAAAAGATAAATATGTCAAGAGCCTAACCACCAAAATTCTCAAGTCACTGCTTAAAAATGTTAAAATTTAACCTTTGCAATATTGTTTGGATTTTTTTCTTAAAACATAACTGCAAGATTCTATTTCGAAAGTTTTGTAATAGCAGAGATTGTGGTGAGAGGCATGCTCCAGGAAAATTAACCAGGATTAACAGCCATACTTGATCCTCAGAAGGAATGCTTAGCAGTGCTCAACTGCAAATCTCAGAACAAAGAAAATCTAGTGACTCACTGTGCTGCAGAAGCCACACCACTGCTTCTCAAACCAACCTTGGACTGAGCGACACAGATCCACTGTACCCTGCATTTCCCAGAGCTAAACAAAGTTCCAAAACCCTACTCAAATTCACAGAAGATCTCTGCCAAAATGAACCAAGAAATCTGAGTCTGAAGACTAATCCTGCATGAACTGCTCACATAATAGCCTTGTACAGCCAAAACCAAAAACAGCCTAGGGGAAGAATCCGTTTCCCTGCTCTTTCATGTTGAGTTTATAAATCTAGCGATATTGAACTAAGAACAACCTCAACATAAAAAATAATTAATAATAATAACAAAAAAACCAGATAGATGCATGAGGGGTCTACCTGCCAGGTCAGAGTATAAAAACTGAGCTGGGTCAGGAGAAGCTGTTTTTTGTACTTCTGAGATGTCACTCCAGAGGTCTGAAGATTGTCACTCCACCTGCTGGTAAGGGGAAATGAGCCCCAAAGTGCCAAATTGATAAAGGAAATGTACATAAAGACATCTTTAGTGTCAGTTTTTTCTTTAGTCTCAGATCTTTCTGGTTAACTGAGCCAAGTAGATCTTGAAAAAATAGGGTAGTGAGAAGAATTGTACCTATTGGCCCCTCGCCTTCTTCTAATGATCTCTGATCCATGATGTGTCTGAACATGGGCAAGAGAAAAGCAATGGTCTTTCCACTTCCTGTCTTGGCAATGCCAATCAAATCTCTTCCAGACATTATAGCAGGAATCGCTTGGGTCTGAATTGGTGTTGGCTTTTCATATCCATGCCTTAAAAGAAACAAAAGGAAGACAAGGTAAGAACTGACATCTCTGAACCTCTCAGAGTATCATAAAGACAAACAGACCCAAAATGTGATACAGCAACACTATAAAATATTATCTAGCAATAAAAAGGAAGGGGGAGCCAGGCACCAGTGGCTCACGCCTATAATGCTAGATACTTAGGAGACTGAGATCTGAGGATCACAGTTCAAAGCCAGCCAGCCCAGGCAGGAAAGTCCATGAGGCTCTTAATTCCAATAAATCACTAGAAAACCGGAAGTAGCGCTGTGGCTCAAGTAGTAGAGTGCTGGCCTTGAGCTAAAGAGCTAAGGAATAGTGCCCAGGCACCAAAGTTTAAGCCCCACAAACAAACAAACAAATATACACATACACATATATACACATATATAATCCAAAGAAATATTTGTGTAAAATGCAATTTTGAATAGAAAGACATGGGAAAATATGGACAACCACTTACTTTTTCAGGGAATTTAAGATCTTCATGGAAATCCCACACTGGACCCAGGATTTAATTGGTTTGGGGCAACCTTTTCCTTTAACTGTAATGCCTTCCATTTCCAATCGAAATACATTCACCTCTACAAAACAAAACCTAGATTAAAAACTCTTTAACAGTGACTTCTACCTTCCAAGTAAGAACTGTAAAACAAAGAATCTTTATTTTTTGTGATTCTATCAGAGATAACATCACAGGAAAATACCAGGATAAAGCACTGAGTAGCTCAGTTTTCCAATCAACTGAAAACACTTGGTGTCCCACTTTTCTTAATTGCATTAACTGCATTAATAGAGTAAAATTAGTCAACAAATTGTTAGAAGTCATTGACAAGTAATACAACCACTTGTTCTGGTATGAGTTTTGCAAATTACCTTTTTTCAACCAACAATACCCACTGGTTCCTAACTCTCAAATACCAGTTAATGGCTAGACAAATGCATCACTTGTCACTTCACACAAAGGGTGTTTTCAACCCTAAAAACACCAACTACATAAGCTCAATTTCTTTTTTTGGTCCGTCATGGGGCTTGAACTGTGGGCCTGGGCATTGTCCCTCAGCTCTTCAGTTCAAGGCGAGCGCTCTACCTCTTGAGCTACTGCACCACTTCCGGTTTTCTAGTGGTTTATTGGAGTTAAGAGTCTCAACGGACTTTTCTGCCCACACTGGCTTTGAACTGTGATCCTCAGATCTCAGCCTGAGTAGCTAGGATGATAGGCATGAGCCACCAGCACCCAGCTCCAATGTTTTTTTTTTTTAATTTTGCTTGTTTATGTAGTACTGAGGAATCGAACCAAGGGCCTCATGCATGCTAGTCAAGCACTCTACCTCTAAGCCACATTCCCAGCCCTATTTTTTTTCAATACTTGATAAAGCATTCCCTAGCTCATACTTCCCTAGGCAAAGTAAAGTATATCCCATTTTGATCCACTATGACTAGCAAAGGAATAACTTTACCCTCTTGGGACATTTTTGCTAGTTCCGGAACTTCAACATAAAAGTTTTTCCTGAATGGTTCATATTCAATTTTTCCATGATCAACTGGTTCCAGAAGTTTTCTCTGTTTTGTCTGATATCCTGTAAGGGCGGTCTGAAGATCAACTTCTTCCTCTTCGGAAGAATACTTGAGTGCAAAAAGAAAAAATGAAAAGTGTTATTTCCACTATGGAGAGCAATAGTCTCAGATATTCAAATCTCTACAAACTGTTTGGCTTTTTTTTGGTCGGATCATGGGGCTTGAACTCTGGGTTTGGGCGCTATCCCTGCGCTCTTCAGCTCAAGGTGAGCGCTCTACCGCTCGAGCCACAGAACCACTTCCGGTTTTCTCTAGTGGTTTATTGGAGATAAGAGTCTCACAGACTTTCCTGCCTGGGCTGGCTTTGAACCGTGATCCTCAGATCTCAGCCTCCTGAGTAGCTAAATTACAGGTGTGGGCTACTGGTGCCCAGCTATTTAGCATTTTTTTAAACATTCTCAAATAGGGGACTGGGAAGGTGGCTCAGTGGTAGAATGCTTGCCTTGCATGCATGAGGCCCTGAGTTCAGTTCCTCAGCACCACATAAACAGAAAAAGCAGAAAGTGGTGATGTGGCTCAAGTGGTAGAGTGCTAGCCTTGAGTTGAAGAGCTGAGGGACAGCACCCAGGCTCAGAGTTCAAGCCCCAAAACCCTCAAATAGACCATTTGACCCACATTTTATGTGATACACGAGGATTTTTTTTTTTAGGGGGGGACGTCAGTCACCAGGCTTGAACTCTGGGCCTGGGCGGTGTCTCTCAGTTCTTCAGCTCAAGGCTAGCACTCTACCACTTGAGCCACAGCGCCATTTCCGTTCTTTTCTGTTTATGTGGTTCTAAGGAATTGAACCCAGGGTCTCAAGCATGCAAGGCAAGTGCTCTACCACTGAGCCACCTTCCCAGCCCCTACTCAAGGATTTAAAATCCCATAATTTCAAAATCCCCTGAAATGTCCATGATTCTGAACAGATACACATCAACTTGTAAGAAATTAATTTCTTTTTTCCCTACCTTTATCAGTATAAAGCTAAGCTAAAATAATTCTGATACTGATGAAATTTTGTTACTGTTCTCACTGTATAAATTTTCATAAAACATAATAAAGGAAAGGAATTTAATTCATTCTGACACATTTCTCCACTGGTCTTGAGAGAAGAAAGAAGAGGAAGAGGAGGAGGAGGAGGAGGAGGAGGAGGAGAAGATGAAGAAAACATGAGCATAAGCAAGAGATGTAAGAGGCCACAATAGTCAACCAGCAAGATGCATAGCTCTCATCCACTTCTGCACTGTTAGGATTAACCAGGCCCTCCCAACAGCAGCGTGCAGAACTGCTACCCCATCTCTAGAACGTTCTGCAGTCCACACTTGTTGGTTAGCATTATGAACAAAGTGACGGTTAACAATCACCTCCATGGCGTCCTGGTCATTCTCCATCAGCTCGCCTTTCTTCTTATCTGAATCTGCAACTGCTTTTTTGGTTGTTACAACAGTGACTACTTTTGTAACTGTTGGCCCAGACTTCTGCAAGTGAAAAAAAAAGGAAGAGAATATAAAATAGTTTGGAAATGTGAAACAAAAATTAGATGACAAATGAAGTACAACATTGTCATAATTTATAACTCAACCTAACAATTTAATTAACAGAAAGACCAACAGCAGTCCGCTTTTCTCTTTAATATGTATGTTTTTATATACAAAATGACCATTATTTTTTATTTAAATACATTTCAATTAGTGTCTACCCTCTTTTCTTTTTCTTTTTTTTTTGGTCAGTCGTGGGGGCCTGAACTCTGGCCTGGGCACTGTCCCTCAGCTCTTCAGCTCAAGGCTAGCGCTCTACCACTTGAGCCACAGCGCCACTTCCAACGTTTTTTCTGTGTATGTGGTGCTGAGGAATCGAACCCAGGGCCTCAGGCATGCAAGGCAAGCGCTCTACCACTGAGCCACCTTCCCAGCCCCACAGAAAAAGTTTTTAAGTAAAATAATGTCACCACTTCCTACAAATCCAAGTCAATACAAAGCAATAACAAGCAATGAGAAATTCACACTGAGAAGCAATGGAAATCTTTAAAATGAAAGAAAACACCCTACCTTTTCGTTCCCCCCGCCACCTTTCACACTTCTCATGTTGAACTTCTTTACTTCCTCTTTCACTTCTTCCATGTAAGCATCTAGTGGATCTAACTCCTCATCCTCCATCTCTGCGCCTTCCTTTTCAGCTTCAGCAGGATCATCTTCATCATCTAAAACAGCAGAACACACTTTCTCTGTACAGATGCTTTGAAATGATTAGCCCACACAGACCACACACTGCCCAGAGCTCCCTTCCAATTACTCCAGCCCAGCTATGCTACAGCTCAAGTACTCCTTGGCACTGTGGTTCAGGTGGTAGGTAGAACGCTAGCCTTGAGCTGAAGAGCTGAGGGACAACGCCCAGGCCCAGAGTTCGAGCCCCACAACAAACAAAAGAAAAAGAAAAAAAGAAAACCATGAAATTTCATATAGTTCATGAACAATGAATGAATATGGCCTCCTATATATAGTCCTAGCTACTTAGGAGATTGAAATGGGAAGGTAATTGCACCCCCAAAGTTCTAAGTCAGTCTAGGCAAGCACAGCGAGGGATCCCATGGGCATAAAACCAAAACTTTCAATATGAATGCAGCAATTCTAATTCTAGGTATACAAGGATCCCAAAGAACTGAAAGCAGGGCTCCTCACTGTGCATACCCATGCTCAAAGCAGCATTATAACCACAGGACAGGAACAACTCAAATGTCTAATAGAGATAAAATATGGCATAAGCTGGGCATGGTGGCACAGCTTAGAATCCCAGCACTTATAGGCTGAGGCAGGAGGACCCTAAGGTTTGATGACCAACTGTCCTACATAATGATTCCCTGTCTCAGAAACAAGAACTGTGGCATATACACAAAATGGAATATATTCAGTCACATAAAGGAAGTCAACACATGCTACATAATATACACAAAAACCTTTAATACATCATGCAAAGCAAAATAAGCCAGAAACCAAAGGACAAATCACACGATTCCATTTATATGAAGGTAACAGTATAAAGATTACAGGGGCCGGTCACCAGTGGCTCACGCCTGTCATCATAGCTACTAAGGAGGCTGAGATCTGAGGATCATGGTTCAAAGCCAGTCCAAGCAGGAAAGTCCATGAGACTTTTATTTCCAATCAACCACAAAAAAACCAGAAGGGGTGCTGTGGCTCAAGTGGTAGAGCGCTCACCTTGAGCTGAAGAGCTAAGGGACAGCGTCCAAGCCCAGAGTTCAAGACTCAGGACAAAAAATAATAATTACTATTATTATTATTACAGGGAGCTGGGAAAGGGGAGGTGGGCTGGTGAGATGTGTGAGATGTTTGACTGGTGGCCAGTTTCTGTCAAGAGACAATAAAGCAATGCTTTATGACACTGAACACACTTGAACTTAGTTAAAATGGGGTTTAGGTAAATGCAGCTCAGTGGCAGAACACTAGATTAAAATATAGAAGGGACAGTAGACAGTGGCTCTTGCTTGTAATCTTAGCTACTCATGATCTTAGCTACTCATAATCTTAGCTACTCATGATCTGAGGATCATGGTTCAAAGTCAGCCAAGGCAGAAAAGTCCATTAGATTCTTATTTCCAATTAACGACCAAAAAGCTTAGAAGTAAGCTGTGGCTCAAGTGGTGGAGTGCCAGCTTTGAATAAATGCTCAGGGACAGCACTCAGGCCTGAATACTCAAGTCCCAGGACTAGCAAAACAAAAATAAAAATAAATAAAATGCAGAAGGCCCTGGTCCACAGAAAAGGAAAAAGGTTAAAATGGGAAATACTGTATTATGTATATAATCCATACTAAAAGCCTCCCCAAATCCCAATATAAAGTAATACTAATAACTTTAGAATATTCTACATGAACTGTTATATGTTGTTAGGCTAACAAAGATACCATCATCATCTTCTAAACTCCACTTTTTCCCTTGTTTCATCTCTTCAATCTCCTTTTTAAGTTCCCCAATGTTTTCCATGGCCTTTTTCCGCTGTTCTTCTCTCCACTTTTCAACTCTTTCCTTTCGCTTTCTCATTTCTTCTTCCAGCTTATTCTGGTCAAAATTCTTGGGGAAGGAAAAGAACACAGAGAAAAAGACATGAAAAAATAATTGCCAATTTTACTCCTGACATCCCAACAAATAGGTTCTTCAATGCATAAGAAAAAAAAAAAAAATAGCCGGGCACTGGTGGCTCATGCCTGTAACTCTAGCTACTCAGGAGACTGAGATCTGAGGATGGAAGTTCAAAGCCAGCCAAGGCAGGAAAGTCCACTAGACTCTTATCTCCAACAAACCACCAGAAAACCAGAAGTGGTGCTGTGGTTTAAGTGGTAGCCTTGAACTGAAGAGCCCAGGCCCAGAGTTCAAGCCCTACAGCTGACCAAAAAAAAAAGGTTAATATACAAATTCATAAATGTAAAACATATTTCTTTTTTGTTGTTGTTGTTGGTTGTGGCACTTGAACTCAGGTTCTGGGTACTGTCCCTGAACCTCTCTGTGCCAAAGGCTAGCACTCTACTGCGCTACTCATAGGTTTTTGAGTGGTTAATTAGGTCTCGAGGGGATTTTTCTGCCTGGGCTGGCTTTGAACTGCGATTCTCATATCTCAACTTCCTTATTAGCTAGGATTACAGGCATGAGCCACAGGAACCCAGCTTTAATTTCTTTGTAGTTACAAGCAATATTGACACGAGTTAGATTTGTCAGAATTGAAACTCTTATAAACAAGCATAGTTTCCCATTTGTTTTTTTCTTTTGGTACCAATCCTGACCCTGTGGCTTAAAGTCAGGGCATGGACGCTGTCTCCTAGCTATTTTGCTCAAAGCTAGGGCTCTACCACTTGAGCTATAGCTCCAATTCCAGTTTTTTGGTGGTTAACTGAGATCAGTCACACAGACTTTCCTGCTTGATCTGTCTTTGAACCACGATCCTGAAAAGTCAGCCTAAGTGGCTCACAGGAGTGAGCCATGGGCACCTAGCATTTATTCCAATTTTTAATCCTTTCTAAATAGCAATTATAAATTAAAAATTAGAATTTTTTGGGGGGGGTCAGTTGTGGGACTTGAACTCAAAAGGCCTGGGTGCTGTCACTGAGCTCTTTTGCTCAAAACTAGCACTCTACCATGTGAGCTACATACAACGCCACTTTTCTGGTGGTTCACTAGAGATAAGAATCTCATAGGCTTTCCTGCTGGGACTGGCTTCAAACTGTGACCCTCAGATCTCAGCCTCCTGAGTAGCTAAAATTACAGGCTGGAGCTACCGGCACCTGGCTCTATTACAAACTAATTACTAAATGAAAGCTATGAATCAACATGCTTGAGGTTAAGTGGTTGGTTCTTTTTAGGTTTTATGTCAGTTTTGTGGAAGAAGCCATTCTGGGATCTTCCTTACAACTAGTCACGATCTGAAGAGGGGGAAGCAATTCACCTGTAACATTAAGCATTACAGAGATGCAAAGTATAGCTATTTTACAAATATGAATAAAAAACTCAGATGAAATTAAGAAATTCTAACAATAGTGTTTGAGCCTCTGAAATTGAGACTTTTCCAAATGCTTTGCTGTCATAGCTTTAAAATATAAATTTATTTATTAACAACAAAGCTTTATTCTGCACCTTACATTCTTTTTGTTTTGTTTTGTGTTTGGTCGGTCGTGGGGCTTGAACTCTGGGCTTGGGCACTGTCCCTGCACTCTTCAGCTCAAGGCGACCGCTCTACCACTTGAGCCAGAGCTACACTTCCGGTTTCCAACTGGTTTATTGGCGATAAGAGTCTCATGGACTTTCTTGCCCGGGCTGGCTTTGAACCTCGATCCTCAGATCTCAGCCTCCTGAGTAACTAGGAATATAGGCGTAAGCCATTGGCGCCCGGCTGCACCTTATGTTCTTTATTTTAAAATAAAACAAAACCAGCCAGGGACCTGTGGTTGTGAGGCTGAGACTGGGAAAATCACAGATCCAGCCTAGCCTACACAGAAAAGTCTCTTAAGACTCCATCTTCAGGGAGGTTTAGCGTGGCATATACCCATCATCCAAACTACAAGAGGAAGCCAATAATCAGCAGGAAGCCAATAATCGGCAGGCTGTGGTCCAGGTGCACAACCTGGCAAAAACCAAAGCCTATCTCAAAACTAACCAATACAAGCTAGCACTGGTGGCTCACACCTGTCATCCAAGCTACACAGGAAGCTGAAATCTGAGGATCATGGTGCAAAGCCAGCCTGGGCAGGAAATTCTATGAAAGTCTTATCTCCAATTAGCCAGCAAAAAGCTGCAAGTGGCGTTGTAGCTCAAAGTGGTACAGCACTAGCCTTGAGTAAAAGGTCTTGGGTACAGCACCCAAGTCCTGAATTCAAGGCCAGGACCAACAAAAACAAAAACAATTACTTCCTATTACATTTTTTACACCACTATATTGGCAAGAATATGAGAAAACAGACATTTGCATGGGTATAAAAAATCCTTGGGGCTGGGAAGGTGGCTCAGTGGTAGAGCGCTTGCTTTGCATGCCTGAGGCCCTGGGTTCAATTCCTCAGCACCACATAAGCAAAAAGAAAAA